AAACAACCCCCCCAAACACACACACACGTTTGTTTCTCGACTTCATGGGGACCTTCCATTGACTTACATTCATTTTTTTTTACTTTATATCCTAACCCTGACCATATACTCTAAAATTAACCTCACAAGTACCTACCTGACCCTAAAACTAACCTAAACCTTGGTCCTAAACCCACACCTGTAATTTGCATTTGGATCCGTGGGGATCAATGCCAGGTCCGTACGAGGCTGTTTTTTTGGTAAAAAAAAATAAATAAAAAACTCCCCACATTGTAGGAAAAACCCGTATACACACACACACACACAAATTGTCCTACAGAGTTTAATAGGTTAAGATGAGGGTGCAGCATCAGCTAATACACAAATAGAACATCCCAAGTGGCCAATTGAGCTGTTCAGACTCTTGTCATGAGACAGTAGATCTTTGAAAAAGTCATTGTTCTACACGTTAGGCATTCATTCCACATTATGTTCCTTCTATTCAGTATTCAGAGCATGATCTTGGGAAAGAGTTTGGTATGCAGCCCAGCATGATTGAGCTTTAAAAAAAAAACCCACTAAAACAAGAACAATTCTCTACTAGCTCTTTGTTTCTAAGAACACATTTGGATGTTTCTTAATRTATTAAAATCTCCTTTATGTAATAAAACAGTGTTTTGTAAGTAGATATTTTATACTTCAAAGACGATCTCGACTGTAATTAATTTTTTGCTTTAGACTCAATATTTTAAGGTTTTTGTTTAAATTACACTCTTAGTTTAGCATTATTTTTTGGTAAGTGAGATATTGAATGTGCAGTTGAAATAATTACAAAGTAGGGGTCAACACAAAATTAAGTGATTAGAATTTTTCAGAGCAGTGCCTCTAGGAGTCAGCTTTAACGTAGAAAACAAAAAAATGTTTAGGCTCTTCATCGGTTGGTGTCAGATTAATTAGCAGGACTCATGTTATTAGCAAATGAACACATCAAATAAATTATCATATTCTTTTGAATAAAATATACGCAAAATATTTTAAATCCCACGTCACATTTTTCTCATGTTTGTTTCTAAAGGTACTGACCTGCAATTGTTTGCAACTCAAACTTGACTGAAAACTATGAGAAAACATGCACACTTTTGGTTGTGACCAGTAAGCCATGTGGTCACCGAAGTGCCTGGAGAAAACCCACACATGCACAGAGAGAATGTTCAATCTCTACCCTTTAAGGTCCCCGGCGGGGATTCGATCCAACAACCTTTTTTACAGCTCTACAATCTGAGCCACTATGAAACATGGCATCGTATGAATAGTTTTGCCCATTTTATTTCACATCTGGCATATTTTCTTCTGAATTGGACTCACCCAAACTGAAACAGGAAGTGACATCAAAGGGGAACGCTTTAAGAAAGGCAACCGCATGGTCTTTATTTATTAAAACCATATCATTCTTTGTCTCTTTCTGATAAAATAATCTAAAAAAAACAGATTCTATAGTCTGTGTTGTTAGTCATTRTAGCAACATCCTGTTCATATTAAGATGTTCCCTTTTGACATCACTTCCTGTTACTTCACATGCAAATATTTCAACAACTGCTCGTCTCAGCAGCGTGAAATTTGTTTAATAGTATATTATAAATTTTATCTTTCCAAAGATTTATTCACTTTTATTATAAAATGTATCATCACAGGTACTTTAAAGCCAATCTGTAAAGAACAATTTGCCATTCACTGTCATTCTGTCAGCTTCTCTTTCTTCGGTTTACCTTCTGCTTTCARCTTAAAGGTGGCCGAGGTGTGAGCAGTCGACCAGCAGAGACGTCAGGAAGTTTGACGTTCACATGACTGGAACTGATGCACAGAGGCTTTTAAAACAGCCGTGTGTGTGTTCTCATGGGTGGAAGGAGAGAGATGTGTCAATGGAGCAGATGGACTGCATTAGAGACGGTCAGAGTTTGAACACAAACATTTTATCTCGGTTTGCACAAGCTTTTTTTTAAAGAATGAAAACCACCTCATCCTGATTTAATCTTTAGAAGTTTAGTTTGTGCTGTCTCTGAACACGATGTTCACCTGAATACTTCCCTAATGAGCACATTTTTTAAGCATGTGTGTGAGTTTTTGATCCTTTCATTACTGGAGTTGTCCTTATCATGCACAAAAAATATTTTTTCCCCTGAGATTTTYAGTTTTACCTTTAGTCAGCACAATTCAAGTTTTAGTTTTGCTTCATGAGACCATACTGCCCTGATCCTGTTCTGTAATGCATAAACTAAATATGTTACAGCGGGTAAAATAAGTATTGAACACGTCACTATTTTTCTCAGTACATTTATTACTAGAGGTGCTGATGACATGAAATTTTCACCAGATGTCGGTAACAACCCAAGTGATCCATACATACAAAGAAATCAAACCATAAATGTCCAGAAATGAAGTTATTTGTAATAATGTGGAATGGCACAGGGAAAAAGTATTGAACACAAGAAGAAGCCAAGACACCAGCTGAACTCTCTCAGTAATTAGAAAGCAAGCCTGCCCCTTGTCAGTGCAAATTAATATC